ATGTATAACGTATGTCAATATATATAATATATTTAAAGATTATCTCTACCAAAGTCATATAATATTAAATTGAAATCACATAAAACTTGTAAAATATAACGGAAGTATGTATAAAAACATAGATAATAAAAGAAAATAAATATGAAATATGTCGCAGTATTGATTGGAAGATAGTTATAAAATTACATGTTTGCAGAAAATGCTTTGTTGATAAAATCGATATAAATAAAAGCAAATTACAGAATAATTAGACATGTCAGAAATACGATTTTTTTCGAAATACGAATTGTTTTCAGTTATTCCAAATCATTTAAGTCATCAAAATCAAAATTATTGCTGGCTGCGCTACTTGAACGTTGTCAAAGTCTTTTTTGGATAAATCTATGAAAATATTAAAATATGTATTAGAAGTATTAAACGCAATTCAAAGAAATTAAAATTTTATAACATAATGAAGCTCATTGATGTCGTTTCTTTAATTTTGTGTTCTTGTGGATGGCTCAGATATACTGTTTGTTTCTTGTATTGTTACCCAAGTCATTGTACTGTTTCTTCGTGTTTTTTTATGTAGATTGAGAAGGTAAGCTTTCAAATCATAGTGTTAGAACACTTCTTGCATCACACATAAAAATAATTAATTAGTTCAACATTCTTTTACCATAGGATTTTTTCAGAGATTTCGAGTTATTTAAGTCACTAATCGTTAAAGTCAAAACTATTCTTATTGCTGGCTGGCTACTTGCAGATCCGTTGTCAAAGTCTATTCTGCATAAATCTATGAAGATTTTGAAAATATTTCTTAGAAACGAATGCTATTGTCTTGATTATAGTGTGCACATTATATATATAAGAGCGCATTAAATGCTTTTCAAAAAAAATAAAATTTTGTAATATATAAATATTAATAAAACTCACCATTCTTCTTTCTTTACTTTTGTGCACTTGTTGATGGTTCAGATATATTTCTTTCCATGTACATTTTTAAGGTGTGTAAATACGTTTTGTGCAAGAGAAAGCTGTATAATCTTCTTTTTTATTTGTTTTTCACACTCTCTACATTTTGCACTAAATTCATTATACTGTTTAACATATTTCCACACCAAGCTATGTTGCTTATTGTTATCTTTCTTTGGTGGCTGCATATTGTGTCGCACTGATAAATGACATTTTAGATTACTGTACGATCTTTTTTGTATGGCCGAGCTCCAGTCGCATTCCGGTATTTTGCATTTAGCTTTTGAATCGTTAATTTTTTCGAAATATTCCCATATCCAATGTTTTTCTTGTAGTTTTATATTATAATGTTCTTTTTTAAAATGCCTATTTATGTTTGATGTTTCAACGTATTTTATGTTATGTTCCTTTGGCAAACACAATTTACATACTGCTCTAAAATTCTTTTTTACTTGAAAATGTTGCAAAAACTCGCTATGGCCTTTTTTAATATCCTGTGATATAGACATTGTCTCCGTCTTTTACGACAAAGTGCTAATAACTCACTAAGATGAAAACGGACTGAATGATCTAACGCAACGTCCGAGTGCGAATAGTACGGTGTATATATTATGAGAAATGTTTATAAACTTTTCGACCTAGTATCAAGCCACTCTCGATGTAATGCAGAAGAACAAAATTGAATAATGCGATTGCTTTCTTCACAAAATCGCAATTTACGATAAACATGTAAAGCCAATAATTGCTCATATATATAATAATTATAAAATATATTTTATCATGTGAAACATATGTGTCACATCTTAAATTAATATTAAACATTAATTAAACGTGATTGTACATTATTTAAGAAATATACATTATAATAATTATAAATGTGTCACGAATACACTTGTTTTTCCAAATATTTCGGATTATTTAAGTTCATAATCGTTAAAATCAAAACCAGTGTTGCCCAACCTTTTTGTATATGTATACGAGTTGCTTTTTTTAATAGAGTGATCTCGTGATCTGTTCATGTACAGAGGAAAAAATATAATTTGAAATATAAAATTGGAATGTGATCTTAACATTTATTAAAAATATCAATAGAGACAAACCAAGTGTCAAAATATATAGAAGTTAATAGAAACAAAATAAATATTAAAATTAGAAACGATCCCTTGCGTTATTATTCATAATGTTACCAACAGTTTTAAAAAACTTGAACATATCTTTATGTGCCACGCGCTCAAATATTCCCGGGGCACAACTATTTCCGGCGTTAGGTTAGGTTACGTTAAATTCGGTAGTGTCGGTAAGGGCGGCTGGCTGGTGCTTAACAGTGTTAAACAGTCGGCGAGAGATGGCGGTATCGTTTCATTACGTGCAGAGACGCAGAAGTAATTACATGGAGTGGGAATAAAGAGGTTCGCGCTTGCGAGCCGAGCCGAGCCGAGTTGAGAGTCGTGTGCGCTGCCGGACCGTAGCGAGGAGCAGCGATAGGGTTTAGCGGTGGCGCGGCTCGTGCTGCTCGTGTGTGCCATAGGAGCCACTGCCGGACACGACACGATCAGAGTAGTGCGCGTTCGTTTACAAGATGGCAGACGACGGTCTGTCCGCGGCGGAGGACGCGACCGCATCGGCGACGGAATTGGGGGACGGTGATTCTCGCGTGACGAGGGAGCGGCACAAACGCCCGGACGCCACCGCGCCGACCGCGACTCCGGGTCCGTTCTCGTCGGGTCAGGACGTTTCTTCCGCGAAGCGCGTCAAACACGAGGACGCTTCTTCCGCGTCTTCATACGAGGCAGACGATCATCGTCGTCCTCATCACGATCGCCGTCATCATCAGCATAATCCTCCTCGTCATTCTTACCATCATCCACCATCACCACCTCATCATTATCATCACTTTAATCTTTATCGCCATCACCTTACCAATCATCGCGACAACGACAACGATCGCGTTAGTGACGAGTACGGCAGTGGTGATGCCACGGTGACCAGTGGTGGTGATTCGTCGTCGTGCGTCGACGCGACTGGGCCAGCCGCGAGCGACGACGACGAGGAGGAGAGCGGCAACGGCGGTGGCATCGGTGTCGGAGCGCCCTGCGGTGGCGTCGGCGTCGACGGCAGTGGCAGTGGCGGCGGCGGCAGCGGCAGTGGCAGTGTCGGTCTGTACCACCTTAGAATCGAGATAGTCCGAAGCGTCGCGAAGGTGGACGACGATCACGAAGACGACGACGACGACGACGGCGGCGGTGGTGGCGGCGGCGGCGGCGGCGGCGGCGGCGTCGATAGTGACTGCGAGGGTGATAGTGGTGGCAGTAATAGTTGTATTAGTAAAAGTGGTGCTGGTGGTGTCGCGGTAATCATGACCGGTGATAATAATAATGCGACGACGCGCGTTGGCGTCGGTGTCGAGGATGCCGACGCGGCCGACGATTCGTCGTCGTCGCGACGCTCAACGTCGAGCGCGGACAGTGTGCCGGAAGTGAACGACCGCGGGGATCACGACGGCAGGAGGAGAGCGAGCGTCGAAACTCGGGAATTGGAATCGGTCGAAGAGATGAGAGTGGCCGAAGACGCTGCCGCGACGAAGAAGGCGGACAACGACGGCGTCGCTGCAGCCAGACACCAGGACAGTCCGTTCAAGGGACAGGTTAGGATGGCCGAGGACACTCTCGTCGGGCCCTGCGGCAAGAAGCGGTGCGCGGATCGATACGACAGCTCCGAGAGCTCTGACAGGTGAGTGAGCGAGTGAGCGAGACGACGGAAAGAAGAGAGGCGAATGGGATGGGAGAGTGAAAGAGAGAGAAAGAGACAACAGAATGGAGAGAAAGAGAAAGAGAGTACAAGTAATTCTATAATAGATTCTTGCAAATTAAGAGCATACAAATCCGCGATCGCGATCGTACGAATTACGAATGAATAATATATCTATTGTGTACTTGGGAACTATGCGTGTAATGTTCATATCGAAGCACGTAATGAATTCCGCCACTACGATAACAATAATAGTCCGAATATTAGTATTACTAAGCGATCGTTGTAATAATGAAAAACGTGTGTAGCTCGCGTTCCTTGAATAAGTTATTTTTTCTCGGCGCGTTTCGCCAGATACAGCGTGCGCTTTCCATCTCGCGTTCCGCCTTGTGGACAAACAGTCGCGATCGCGTCGCGTCGCGTCGCATCGCATCGCGTCGCGTCGAATCACTCGCAAGGGAGAATCGGAGAATCGCCTGGTCTCGCTTTCGATCGAAATTCGTGCGAGTCGCTTTTCGATTACGGTAGCTCCATCCGTGATAGCTTTCCGCTCCGAAGAGGGCTTCGTAATTAGCACGTAGTTGGAGTTCGACGAGCAGAGAGCTCACGGGGGTCGTTGTACCGCGGTTACGCGACCGACGACCGTGTCTGTTGCTGCTGCTGCTGGCCGTTCGTTCGATCTCTCTCCCCGTCTCTCTTTCTCTCTCTTCTTCTCTGCGTACGTGTGCGCGCCGAGTCTCGTGTGTTCGTAAGTTCGTAGATGCCTGCTATCTTCCGTCTCTCGTCCCTTCCGTTTCTCTCTCCTCTTCTTTGACGCTTCCATTGGCCGAGCAACTGATTATTTTGGTGCTTCGCGCGCGTATATCGAGCGCGTCGCCCGCTGTTTTCAGCCGTTCGCTGATTAACGCGTTGCTAACTATAAACAATAGCGCGCTTTTGCAATATGGCACAGAGAGTTCGACGGTAAGCGGTAAGGACTCGCGGTGTGGTATTTAATGTGAATGGCAGGTTGCTATTTATAGGCAATAATAGCTGAGCTTCTACAATGCCGCACTGAGAATACGATTATCTAAACTAAGCTAAGATCCCGAGTTCGCTATGAGATAATTATAGATGTTTTACATTTCAAATTTGTTGTAAAGCGTTGGTTCTTTATTGTTCGTCATTCGACACTATCTAATTGCCGTGTCAGAAGTACGAATGATACGAGGAATTTCTAATATCGATGTTTTAGAACGTGAATAGGCTCTGAGAAATATTACGCACATCTTATATTAGACATCTCCTTTCTCCGCTGCCAACAGTCATGGAATGACATGGCTTTTCCAATTTGTGTATCTAGATATTTGTATCGTTAATTGTTGATTTTATACAATATTTCACACATTTCATATTTCATACATTTTTTTATGATCACCTATAAAATTATTCTCTTTTAAACAAAAATGCTCTGTTAATTGATATCGAAACGAACGTATTTTCATCGTATATTGTCCATTTTTATAGGTCGTAACGCTTTTTTAACAATGACTCGCAACGTTTGTCATAACAATGTGATTTCTAAAATGACTAACAAAAAGTAAATACAACGCAGGACGTTATCTCGAAGCATTACACAAAGGGATAACGCTCGCGATAAAACCTTTTCTTCCTCGCGTCTCGTTTTCTGTTCGCATTCAAGGATCTGCGTGCTTTTTATAGGCGCACGAGACTCGAAATGAGAAAAGTCGACGCGATTAAAACGAAGGAGCGTCTCTCGAGACTTTCCGATTAACGGCGGTTGGTGTAGTTAGTCTCGCGGGTTGAAGTGACGCCGATATCCTACCTACGAACGTGAAGGAAAACGGGTCGCAATAAAAGTTTAGTGTCCTAACGGTGCTTCGCTGTGGTACACTAAACTCTCGAGTCGTCGTCTCTGCGTAGAAAGTCTCGACCCTTTCCTCTCGTCTCCGGCGGATAACCGCATTATTGTTCCTCGGTACGCGCCGACGGCTAGCAAGATTTTCCGGCGCGACGTCGCGGCCAAACTTCCGCGTACTTGTCTCTGCGTGGAATCTTATAGTCGGGTCGAGCAGACGATCTTGTGCGCTCTTACTTGTGTAAGACTGAGAAAAGACTGACATATTTTTCGCGACCTCTGCAACCTTGCGTTGCGCGACGACCTATTCCACATACGCGGCATAGATTATTGTATTGTAAATTCATGAATTTAGTCATTTCCGTTTAATCCATCTAATTTTCCATCTAATCTTCTATTTTTTATCCTCTTTAATTTATTATTATCTTCTTTAATAATGTTTTCTGACGATTGGAAAAAAGTTTTCAAGTACGAAAATGAGTTTTTAGAGAGAGAAATGTTGCTCTGCAGATTTTCACATTTAATTTAGAGTTTTACATTTAAAATTCTAATCTGACCGCAGATTAGAATTTGCGGTCAAGTTTGATTGTGACATATGTGAGACAAATTCTATTATGACACGTTTTTCATTAGAGACAGGATCATACATTTTCACATGTCGTACTTTCACATATGCAAGTTTGCGTATTAATAACCGAACTCATTCGGATGAAGCAGGATTTACATTTAAAATAACGGTTGAGTCAAGCTGACTATGTTTTGCATTCCTAAGGACGTGCACAACAATGTTTACTCACGTCTTTTCCTTTACAATAAACAGATTTCTCTTTTCCTTCCTTTCTTCTCTGTTTTCTGATATATACAAGTTCTGCTACTCTTCTCCACGAGCATGCGTGTATTTGTGTATGTAGCTGATGTATTATTCCATGGAAACTTCACTATGAGAGTTCTGGCTTTTTTAAATAGCTTTATACAGTTTTAAATAGATAGAACAAAATTCTGACCTTTAAATTTAAAAAGTAGCTTAGGACAAATTGAGATTTAAGCTTATATTGCGTTTTAATTTATCCTACTTATTAATTTATCCCAAGAATTTTTTCATCACTTTTTTCAAATTTAAAAAGCTTTAAAAATTCCAGAAAAAATTTTTTAAAGTGAAAAACGTCAATTATAGTTAAATAGTGAAGAGAGAATAGTGCTATAAACATTGAGATAAAAAAATATATAAATTTTTCAGAATTCTATAAATTCTATTGTATAATAACTGTTGTATAATTCTGTAATCCTTTCTATAAACATTTTAGTAAGAATTCCACGGATTATCTTAATAGTGTATAATTTATGGAAAAAAAAAACACTTTTTCTATATACTTGCTATTGCAAAGAATTTAGAAATTTGTAAATCACAAAACCGCATCGTCGAAAAACTTTCGAAATTATAAATATAAATATACCGATAGTACTAAGTTTTACTGCGCAATTTTCTTACCGTAAGTATAGAAAATGTAAAGAAATGCGACATAAAATTTAATATCTAAGGCTCACCCTTTGCAGATGGATGTATATCGCAGCATTCAAGATGTCAGCAAAAATGGAGGTTTATCATTATCTAACCTCGGTAGTCGCAGCATGCATTTTTGGTTTTCTAATCCAACTTCTTTCACACATACACGATTGATAGGATAACGAAAACATAATTGTGTTTTCAACGTAAATTTTTTTTATAAATTAAATGTAATGTAGTAGGGAGTGAAAAATTGGGAAAATTTACGTGAATATTTATATTCTGGTAATCATCAGGATGATCGCGCGAGTGCATGTGTAATGTGAATGGGTTTATGGATTTGGACCGAGAGAGAATCGAGGGTGCATACTGCGGTCGCCGGCTGCTGAGGCTAGACAGCGAATCCCGATTTTCCTGACGCGTTCGATGCTTGTGATATACATCCGGTTGCAGCTGCGAACGGTGAGTTATTAACATAAGTTTCGTTCTTTTCAGCCGCAGTTTTTGTGCTTAAAGTAAAAAAAAAATTATACAATAGAATTTTGGCTTATTAAAAATAAAGTATATGAGTTTCCATGAAATAATATGCCAACTTCACGCACATTTTCTCTTCTTTCCTTATTTCTGTGCGATTAAACGTAATCATTCAACATACTTAACTTTACTTACATTTATACTTTCACATTTCTGTGAAATCTGTAATCTTTCCTCTTTCTTTTTAGCTTGATTTATATAAATTTAATTTCGCATGCAGCTTAACAAAGTGCAGTTGAAAGGAACGAAATGTACAACGTGCTTTAACTCGAGAAAATTAATTCGCATAATAAATTCGTCCCTGAATCTATCGGCAAGTTAGAAAGGGTCATGAGTTCCGCTATACAACTTTGTTCGTTCGCTCGTTCGTTCGTTCGTTTACTCGGCGGGATGTTTGGTCGACGGCGGACCAACGTTCTCTCGTTCGGGCGCACGGTATTATTTTTAGAAGAATCCACGTCCGCGCTCTCTCGGTCGGTCGGTTCCTCTCTGCCGGGTTTACGCGCCGTCGATTACGCTCCAGACTTCACGTGTACTCGTAACTCGTGACGAGATACTATGTAGGCTTATTTTCTTCCTACAGGCTGCTTCATTTCACGTATCTTTCAGTCTTTGGAAGAAAATTTATCAGATCATCCGAAAAGTTTGTCGTGTTTTTCGAAATCAAACTTAACATAAAATATTTTCTATTTTTAGTTTTCATTACAAAAGTTAATCGCTTGAAAAAATCATGTCACTTTTGCACAGTCGTATATTCAATATTTATTTTTCTCGTGCAAGTTGGAATTAGTATCAGTTAATAATGGCATGATCAAACTTGTAGCATTGAACGGGGTCAAATCGATTTTTCTTTGTATGTTTAATTTAATTTCCTTGTTTTTGACATGGCGCTATTTAAGGCTCATGAATATTAGACGTTGCTTCTATTAATTCTCGGCTGGCCGTTCTACATAAGTTAACCTATCGCTCCGTAAATCCAGCGAGGCTTATAAACACATCGTTGGTAATAAACGCCATTAATTACTGTACCGCAAACGTAGAAATCGAGATTGAGCGGTTGAGCCATCGTTGCGTAATCATAATTCA